AGAGAACTGGGAAAGTACTGGTAAATTAAAACTGATAAATACTGTATGCACTAAGTAACACCAGGGAACCTGTATCCCTTTTATTTATTTTTTTTGTGATAGCAATTTAGTGATGATGCATACAGTTGAAATTAAACCCAATCAACCTCACTAAGTTTTTATATAAATCACCTACGGCTAAAACTGTTTTTTTACCTCCTTAATTTTTCATGTTAAAGTCAGAAAATGAAGACCTGTGAATTTTCAACATCCAATAAATATTGTAGAATAACTTTAATTTGATGTTGTTAATAAATGTATTTAATTGTAATTCTTTTTCTCTCATTTCATTCATGTTTGGTGTTCTAAAAGAAGTGTATTGCAGGGATGGGCATAAAAATAGGACGAAAGGCCACAGTATATTTTTGACTTAACATTGAGGGCTGCACCTAATTTTCTTTAAGAACTAGAGTACAGTAAAACAAAAATCAGTATAATAAATTCGTAGGCTGACTATTAGCAATGTGCAGTATGAAGACAATTACTTTATATGTAAATATGATATGGTCAGAGATTCTTCACATATTTTACCAACAAATCTCAAATCCATAAACGTTGTATATTTCTTGTTAATTTTGTCGATGCCAACTCGCAGGGACCTTTTGATATGCTAATATAATAGTAGCATCATTTGTTAATATTTAAGTATTGCTTTCATTTATTTTTCTATAATAGGCCTATATATATATATTATATATGATATATATGTATGTATGTATGTATGTATGTATGTATGTGTGTATGTATATGTGTATGTGTGTATGTATGTATATCAAAAGGAAAATAATACATAAATAAATTTAAACGTATAAGAAATAATGTAGGTCTATAGCGCAAAATTTTAAAAGTCTATAATATTATTGGGCATTGGAAATACTAATTTTTTACCATAAAATATAAATGTTACCGGTATATTATAAATAAATGGAATTAATGGAAATTGCGAATATTAACAAATAATTACAAGCGATTTACGTCGTGCATGGGATGAGTAGACGTCAAAAATATATAAAATTGAGAAAAATATGCCTATACTGAACAGAGTAGGGAAAACTTCGAAGCTACTTTTGCAAAGTCAAGCGTTGGGGAGGGAGCTGCTTTTAAAAATGAATGCTCTAAACTTTAGGAATTACATAACTATAAAACAATAAATAGGGCCACTGTAACATCAATCTGTAACATCAATAGAGAGCTGCTTAGCTCAGTCGGCTAATCTGGTGGTAGCCACTGTGTGTGTACGTGCGCCTAACAGTGGAGATCTCTAGGTCCCCGGTTTAATTCCCATCACTGCCTCTCCTTGCGTTTCAGCTGTAGGGCTGAAAATACAAGTTACAATAGCGGATGAGACGTTTAAGCCGTCTGTCCCGTGTGCATTTATGGCCATGTGCAGTGGCGTCGAGAGCCAGTAAGGGCCCCGGGGCAACACCTCACATGGGCCCCACTTCACTTGGGACCCCCACTCGGCCGCTCCCCAAATTAAGTCTCCTCCTAAATCTGACAACAAAAGTTTTCATCCTGGCTTGGGCTCGGACCATATGGAGATTTTGTTCTTACCCCGAAAATTTTTCATCTTGGTCCGGGCCCCCCAGTAGACCCGGGCCCCGGGGCAGCGACCCCTTCCCCCTCTCGACGCCATTGCATGTGCACGTTAAATAACGCAGTACACTCTTCGGAAAGGAGTAGGGGATTGTCTCCCGGTGTAGGACTACTGCCCAATGACCACTAGAAGGACTCCCACTGGAAATAAGTCTTCTAGACTTTCTTGGACTCCATGGTGTTTACACCGAATAAATCCAATCCAATCCTGTATCATGGTGTGTATTAACCGGTATAAAATCACCTAACTACTATATAGGCCTAAACAAAGCGTGTTTTTTAAATATATTTTCTTGTTCTTGAAATTCATGTAGAGTGAATGGATTGTACTATCTCGAAAAATGCCTATGTTATCTTGAAAAGAAGCTTATAGGTTTCTTGTCGAGGCTACTTTTGCAAATTAATAATATAGGGGCTTCAATTCGAGATGGCCTTTTTTCTCGAGGTAAGCCATTGGGCTTCAATTCGAGGTATATTTTGTTTGGTAAACCAATATTTGGGTCGCGACCCCATATTTTGAAAGGCGTGAGATTAGATTACAATAGGCATTTACACTTTATCATATATCAAAGACCCCAGGCTGGTGCAATGCATAGGTACGTTATTGTGTTTTTTGGCAACGTCATGTTTGAAATCATGTATATCGTTATCCAATACCCACGAGCAATACTTCCTGATGCGAATAGGTGCGATTTTACACACGAAGCGGGGACAAGTAGCACTTATGTCGGGAGTGCTTGGATAAAGTTACGTGAAGCATAACATGCTTAATGAATAATGGTGTGATTGGTAGTAATCAATTTGAGTATCGGGGGAAAAGAGGAGTAGTTGACGCAGCTATGACGCTCACACATAAGGTGTATGCACATCTTGACTATCCTAATTATAACTGTGCTGAAATATTGTTTTTAGATTTTTCGGCATCGTTCAATACGATTATTAGGCCTCATTTACTTACTGAGAAGTTATTAATTATAGGAAGAAACTCACGACTAAACCTTCGGATCTCTACCTTCTGCGAAAGAAGATTGTTAAATTTAGGGGTGTATGAGTCGTTGATTTGTAACACGAGAACACCACAAATCATAAAAATATTGTAATTGATAACAAGAATGTAGAAATAATTAAATGACACTACCTGGTTAGCCTATTAATAATTAATAAAGAACTGGGGAAGTACTGGTAAATTAAAACTGATAAATACTGTATGCACTAAGTAACACCAGGGACAGCCTGGGTTTTTATTAAGTTTTTGAAAAATTATTACAATTTATTATAAATTACATCTAATCTTTAATATTTTGATTGAGAATTTGACAAGAAAGCAGCGCAATGGAGTAAAAATGATGAGCTGTAGAGTCAACCTCTCACTCTTTCATCTCTGTAAATTTTCAGCTTCCTTAGAAAATTCACTGGTCTTCATTTTCTGACTTTAACATGAAAAAGAAGGGAAAAAAACTAGACTTTTTCCAGTATAGCTCAGCAAGACATAATCGCCATATTAATAGCTACGGTATTTATTGAGATCCTGTGTAAATACTGTTTTTCTTTCTTTTCTCACTGTAGTAAATAATGAATAGATTATTAAATACATGCCAATATTAAATGGACAATTATGTCTGTCTCTTATACACTTTGTAACAACGCTATTATGACAGCATGATTCATGTGTTCCTTTCAAAATTACTGAAACCGAGTGAAACGTGTGAAAACTAGGGCAAGACGTTACCGCGTCCCAACTCTCTCTCTCTATAATAGGCTAGGCCTACGTCCTCGCTCCTGAGTAATTCGTTATTTCGATTTTAATGAAAATATTTTTTTTTTATTAATAATGCAAAAACAGACATTATACAGTACACTATAATTTATGATAAACTAGACTTTTTCCAGTATAGCTCAGCAAGACATAATCGTCATATTAATAGCTACGGTATTTATTGAGATCCTGTGTAAATACTGTTTTTCTTTCTTTTCTCACTGTAGTAAATAATGAATAGATTATTAAATACATGCCAATATTAAATGGACAATTATGTTAGTTCTTTTTATTTGTAACAACGCTATTATGACAGCATGATTCATGTGTTCCTTTCAAAATTACTGAAACCGAGTGAAACGTGTGAAAACTAGGGCAAGACGTTACCGCGTCCCAACTCTCTCTCTCTCTATAATAGGCCTAGGCCTACGTCCTCGCTCCTGAGTAATTCGTTATTTCGAGTTAGTAATTCGTTATTTCGGATTACTAATTCGTTATTTCGAGTTAGTAATTCGTTATTTCGAGTTAGTAATTCGAAATAACGAATTACTAACTAGAAATAACGAATTAGTAATCCAAAATAACGAATTACTAACTCGAAATAACGAATTACTAATCCGAAATTTCGAATTAGTAATTTGTTATTTCGGATTAGTAATCCGAAAAAACGAATTACTAATTCGAAATAACGAATTACTTAATTCGAAATTTCGGATTAGTAATCCGAAATAACGGATTACCAATTCGAAATAACGAATTACTAATTCCAAATTTCGGATTAGTAATCCGAAATAACGAGTTACTAATTCAAAATAACGGATTACTAATCCGTTATTTCGATTACTAATCCGAAATAACGGATTACTAATTCGAAATTTCTGATTAGTAATCCGAAATAAAGAGTTACTAATTCGAAATAACGGATTACTAATCCGTTATTTCGGATTACTAATCCGAAATTTCGGATTACATTTTGATGATTTTATATACCGTACTTAAGTGGCACGAATAGGCTTTCGTAGTATCTTGATAAAACTTTCATTTTTTTTTATGAAGACGGCACAATGACACATTCACAAAGTATACGTCAATATCAAATTTACTTAAGATGTAGTCAAACTTCATTACATAATTAATGACTATCCTTACTCAAATTCTTGAATTTAAGTATTGAATCTCCCCATAAAAAGACTTAATAATGCCAGATCAACTGCCAGTAATTCTAAACGCGCACAGTGTGTGTATGATGTGTATATGCAGTCCATAGGCTTGAAGGCGCCTTGTTGGCTCACTTTCAATCACTTAATATAAAGCCATGTAATCTTTCTTTCAACGTACCTACGTTCTTTCATATGTTACCAGATAGGACGCCATTTTAAAATTTCATTTTGAAATGACATGAATAGGCCTATACACCAGTAGGCCCTAGGCATACTTTTATTTGGAGTTCGGCCCGTTGCACCTGACTCGTTCTTTTGTGGATTTTCTGTTTAAATTTTACTATTGTATACAATCACGTGATTAATATTAACCAATCTACCTTGTTTATTTTCTCTTTGATGAACAGGAAACTATATTAAAATATTTAGGCCCTATTTGAAAACGACATTTATGTGTTGTAAGCCTGTTGCTTTGACAAGATGAATTTTGCTGCTTATTGGGCATTTCTGCTTGTTTCTATCGTTCTCGATTGTCAATTGAGCCAAGCACAAACGACATCGGTTTGGGCTAATCCACAGTCTTATTTTAGTTGTGACTTCGAATGGACTTGCTACAGAGACATATCGCAAGATCTGAATGATGATTTTCAATGGTCAAGGAACTACGAAAGTCCACCTGTATGGAATAGAGGTTCGAACACTCCTATTTAAAGTTTTATTTCAAGTATAAACTAATTTTGTGTAGGTCTAATACTAAACTTCTGCATTTTACTGTCATAAACTGCCACTTAAAGTGAGCTTTGCTGTAAGAGACAATTAAATCTTCAAAATATTATGTTCACTGTTACTATATTCTCTATTATGAATATTATCGTTAATATTATCCTTATTTTTTTTCTTATTCTTACACTCAACCTTAAATTTACTGTTACCATTACCACTACCAATACGCTTACCAATTGATCACTAGCCATACGGTTACCATTACCACTATCATTACTGTTGTTGTCTCCACCAAAGGAAGTTACTGAGTATGAATTCACCGCTGTCTATCTGTCTTCCTATTATGTCTGTCTGTCTGTTACGCAAAAACTAATGATCGTCACAAAATTTAATGGAATGCTAATATTTGAACAGTTTTTCCTCAAAAGGCATTATCGGAAAAATTAAAAGTAAATATTGCCACGATGGTGTAATTACAAAATATATTGGTATTTATGAAAAGGGGAATAGAAAACCCACAAAATGTCAAATGAAATGGCAATTTTATTTTGATACTGAAATCCACTGGGTACCGACCTGGGCAAGGAAGGTGAGGGACATTAGAGAAAATAAACTTTAAAGTAATACGTAATATTGTTCCTACCAAGACAAGTTGTACAGATGGAAAATGCAACGATGTAAGAATGTTGTTGAAAATTAAGCACATCTCTTTTTTGAGTGTGTAGAAGCAAAGGAACTAACTATGGAATACATTAATAATTTTAGTTAAAGAAAATATGGTATAAAGCAAACTTTAAAAATATTGTCCTTGAAACGGGAAATGTTTATGTCGATCATATATTTTTATTAAGGTTATTTTGTATAGGCCTATTTAAAGCATACGTCTTAAAAAACGTTAACAAATGAAAGGCTTTTTTTTTATAACTGAACATAATATCAGAAAATATGTACAATGTCTCGCATAATGTTTATAATATAATAATACTGTGTAATTGATGTGCGAATTGTCTTTATAAGTTAACGAGGACATTAATGTTTTACTTTGCTTCTTGTTAAACACGCAACAAAAGGAAGTTTGTAGTGTCAGGTATTCGGTAACACAATGATTATGTTTACTGTATCATAGTTTTAAAAAATATTTAAAATAAGAAAAGAAATTAATGTTTCTTCATCTATGTCTAGAAGAAAATTATGAAAACCACGAAAAGGGAGGAAAATGAATGGTTACCTACAACTTTAAAGCAATGTACAAAATCAATTCCTACCGGTATTTCATTTGTAAATGTATTAATTCAATTATGAATTATAATTATATTGATGAATAAATGTGGTAATTTTTGCCACAAAAGAGAAACAAAAAATATTGGAATGGTATATATTTTTAGAAGAAAGAGTTGATTAAATTTTTGGAAGAAAAGATGCCAAAGTACAAAGTCAAGTTAACGAAAATTAGCCTGCCTGCTGCGTATTGTTCGGTATTCAGGCTAGGCGCGGGGCAGAAAACAATGGAATAGCCCATTGTTTTATCTATTTATATATTTATTATAATATAAAATTATAATATAAGTATATTATTATATAATTATATATAAGTGTATTTATTATAATATAATATAAAAACAATACATGGCCTGTGTATTGTTCGGTATTCAGGCACGGGGTGGAGGTATGCAATCTATAGAGTGACTGCTCAATAAATATTATTAGACCTATTATTGTTATTACTATTACTATAATTGTTGATAAATTTTGCTAATAATTAATTTATATTATGCATAATTATTATCACTATTAATTCTTTTTTATTTGCCTCAGATTATAACATGTTTATTAATGCACGCGGCAGACGTCCTGGACAGGTCGCTCGCTTTAAAACTCCGGTAATCTCACCGACATGGTGGCCATCCTCTTACTGCATACAATTTTCTTACATCATAATGGGACCATATGTCGGTCAGTTTGAGGTGATTACAGAGAACGAGTCACACGGTGTTGGTGACCCCATTTGGATTTCATCGGGACTACAAGGACCTTACTGGAACACAGAATATATTGACTATCAACCAACAGATTCATTTAAGGTATGATGCAAATTCTGTTTTTGAAACTACAATTGTATTGATGATAATTAATGATGTGGATGGTTGTGATAGTGGCGATTTGTAATAAATATGAATATATGATGGTGATTTTGGTATGCAATATTTATGTGTCATTACTATAAAGTATAGTAATGAGCTAATTTGATTCGATTCTAACGAATTCCTCAGTGTGGATCATTTCGCAAAGTGTGCAATCGCAGAACATCGTGAAACATTAAAAAAAAATATATATTCGGAAATTATATTTCACTAATAACTCCATGATCTGAGGAGGAAAAATTCTGAATCGTAACCTGACATAATAATGATATTAATAGACATAATAATAATAATAATAATAATAATAATAATAATAATAATAATAATAAACATAATAATAATGATAACAATAATCATAATGATAACAATAATAAACATAATAGTAATAGACATAATAATAATATTATTACCTAAACCATACAGTAAAATTGTTATCATGATTCATTTGAGCTAAAATCAAGTTTTATTAAACATAATCTCTAGTTATAATCATTTTCCTTGTAAGTATTGCAAATTTGGATTTTATTAAGGTTTTTGTGATATTTCCGTCCTTATTGAGGCAGTGCCGCTCTATTATACTGATTGTTTTCAGACTACACCTTCTCACCACTTCTTTTGTAGATTCATCATAAAGAATATAGTATATTTTTAATTTGTAAACAATGTTCCATAAAAATTGCATTTGCTACCACTCACGGTAGTAAACAAAAACTTTTATTACGAATGAATTATTCATTTTGTTCTGAGATATTCATTGTGGTCATCACCACCACCATTGTGATCATTGACACTCCTTAAATTTCTACTAATTAAAAGTACAATTATATTATTATTATCTTCATTATTGATATTATCAATAACGAAAACCCACGAAATAGTAATATTATCAGTATTAATTATATTATTATCATTATTATCATCATTGTAATTCTCAAGTTTAAGCCTTTAAAATGCTCCTTCAAATATGACAAGGCTGTAAATTATCACAGTTATAATGGTATGCCGATATTTTCAGGTCATATTCAAGGCCACTGTTGGACCAATTTCGTTTAATTCCTACATCGGTATAGACAATTTGGAAGTCTACGATGGAGAGTGTCAATCGAGTAAGTTAATTACCTCTTATTATTTTATTATTATCATCATATTCATGTTTATAATGGTGATGATGATGATGATGGCGATGTGATATTATTATTATTATTATTTAATTATTATTATTATTGTATTTTTAATGCAATTATTTTTATAATAATAATAACAAAACTTACTACATCTGTTTATAAAACAGAACATAGGGCTGTCCTCTTTGCTATAATGAGAAGTAATGTTGAAATTTAAAAAAACCTAACATAGTCACACGGAAAACAAAAATGAAATCATACAGAAAATTATGAAGAAGATTATGAAGTTAAACAAAATAAAAGCAACTTGACATCAGGGAATCACGAACTATGACTGCTAATAATATTCAAAAGATGTTATAATTTGATATGCACATCGTTAATATGGTCTTTGCCTGGACATTATTCGAAAAAGACAGCAGCTAGTAAAAATAAAAAGGGAAAATAACTCGAAGTTAGTAAGGCTCGAACTATAGCTGCACTGTTAATAGAGGGTGAAATAGAGACATATAACCACTGCGTGCTATGTGAGTCGACCCTGCTTTAGTCAGTTCATTTTTAGTTCATAGTGATTCTGTGATTAAAGCATAACTTGTTCATGTATATCTCACTGCTATAATGCGAAGCAAAGTTGATATTGCTAAAAAAAAAAGTTATTAAAATGTATGAAGTAAAAAAAATACGAAAAATAAAAATATTAATAGTACTGTGCTAAAAAAAAAAGAAAAAAAAAAGATCATGTTAACAACTAACGCGACGTTAGTGAGACTTGAACTATTGCTGCATATGGTAGTACCGAGGTACATCGAGTCTCATAACCATCGCACGCTATATGAGTCGACCTTGTGGTAATTCAGTGATAGAGAGCAGGCCTGTAGCCAGGTCATTTCAAGGGTGGGGGGGTTCTCTGGGCGTGGGGTCCAGGGGACTACCTAAGGGCCCCGGTGGGGTGGGGGGCGAAGCCCCCGAAGCCATAGCAGTTTTTGTGTTTAATGGGTCTATATAAGGTTATAAAAGCAGTTATGTTTTGAAAAAAACCTATGTAATAAAAGGTAGTAATATAAAATATTTTCTGAGAATTAGCATGCTTAAATCACATCGACAGACAAAAAAAAAACCTCATCGTATAATCAATATCAGTATACTCAACACATTTATTATTATAATACAAAACAAGCTATTATAGGCCTATAAAGTAATTTACAAAGAATTATGTATTGTGCTTCTTTATGTATACATTTAAGAAGTGTTGTCTTGTTTTAACTTGATTTATGAATCTTCCAGTAGGCCTATATAAACAAATAGAGCTGCTTGTTACAAAATAAAGTAGGAGCTGAACTTCTTCTTGAATCTCATCTTGTACACTGAAAATAATAGTAGGCCCTACTATTTTTACTACATGGCTAAAAAAAACACAAATATTGTCATTACTACAACTGACAGCGCCATCGTTAAATTAAGTCAGAGCCCAAAATATAGCATATTGGACATCATGGGAACCTAAACTTTAATTACAATTATTTGTTTACTAGGCCTAATTCGAAATTATTATTTTAAGACTTTAACCTAATACATACTGATTAATAATAGCTGAGATTTGATGCACATTTCAGGATTAATAATCGTTTTTAGTATCTTACTGAATATTTATTGTCTACCAAATGAAATATGAATTATATATGAATCTTTAGAAATACAATTTCTACAATATTAATCTTGTTTTTATATAGATAAAATGTTCGATAAATACTATCTTTCATAAAACAAACGAAATTCAGCGCGTCTATTTTCATTCCAATCATGGACCTATTAATAAGAATAGGTCCATGTTCCAATCATATGGCGTTTGTAAACATGTACACTGACGTTTCGTCGAATCCCAGGACTTTCGACGGCAATGCTGGCCTGCCTGCGTAGGTCCCAGGCCAACCAATAATAATTAACAAAATGTATTTTTTTAAATATAGGCCTATGGCGCATCCTATTGTAGGCCATAGGCCTAGTGTGTGTGAAGTACTGACTTTGTTAATATATGGGTGAAATTGCGCACAAACATCAAACTCTTGGCCTAACATACAATGCCAGAGGAAATGATATCACGTTTTAGTCACCAAAAAGGATTTTCCACGGACGCACAGAGTAGGCCTTCTAATAGTATGACCCAAAGCGAACGAGTTTTTGGTCTCGAAAATCCAGACACTTCGTTAAGGCCTATACGGTACAAAATAATGTACAGTATATAATTCATTGAAAAAGCTTTAAAATGAAGGACTTTTAAATGAAGTTTATGTATATAGGCAATAATAATATTTTGCGAATCTTGGGTTTTTAAAAGCAATCTTCGGATTTTTTAGACCCAATCTTGGGAATTTTGATTTTCCCTAGTGATCACGCTGCATTTAGAGACAGAATTGTACCGACCCGACGACATCAAACTAGTGTAGGCCTAGGCTTAAGTACAGTAGGGAGTACTACTAGGCCTAGGCTTTTGTTGTAAAAATTGAATTGCATGTATACACTAGGGAAAATTTTCCCAGGGGAGAACCCCCGGACCACCCTTTCTTTTGGGATTTATCGATTCATGGAAAAAAGAATACGCATGCAACTACTCATTTGTTTATGTATGTATACACACATAAATGAGAAAAATTTACCTGACCTATTTCAAGAGGGGAAAACCTTGAACCTTGAACCCGGGAAAGTGCTAGAAAATCTCAAATTTTAAATCGCATATTTTGTTGAGGTAGGCCAATTTCCTCTAAAAATTGCACATTTTAGGGAGTTTTGATCAATTCCGACGAAATTAGAATTAAAAAAACAAATATTTTTCGCGCGCTTCGCGCTCATTTTTTAATGTTAAAGCTTGTGCTTGCTCTCCTTTGCTTTCTAAGTTATAACACATAGCCCCAAACTCAAGAAAGAAAATTTAAGGTAGATCGTTTTACCTAAAAGAGGGGCCTCAATGTGTAATGATGTTGAAAGAATATGTTTGTAATAAGTAAAGCCATAAGGAAAATGCTTATATTCAGTTTAAAAAAAACCAGTGTGGCCATATATAACATAAGAGCATTTCTTGTTGAGGTAGGCCAATTCCCTCTAAAAATTGCACATTTAGGGAGTTTTGATAAATTCCGACGAAATTAAAATTAAAAATACAAAAAATTTTCCATTGGTATCACACCAATTCATACGGTAAATTACTAACCGGGAAAATTAATACCTTTGCCGCCCCCCCCCCGACCCAAGACCCCTGTTACGCGCCTGCTTATAAGTGGGGCCCCCCACTTTGAAAAACGTTCCGCCGGCCCTGTAATTAATCTGTCAATTTTATACCAGGGGCCTACAGTATTGCATAGGAGTATTTAATAATATGAAAAATGGGGAAAACAGTTTCCTTTGAAATTTACTTAGCGAGTGTGTATGAAACCGGGTCTATGGCAACTAAAATTTGATACTACGTCTAGAAGTGTAAAGATACGGACCCTATTAGTAAAAACTGTTGAATTCTAAATGATTACAAGATGACCAAGCATATGAATGAATCAGTCTAAAATGATATTCAAAGATATTATACAGCTAACCGCTAATGCTTGCGTTGCATGTCTATTACACACCAGCACTCACAAATGTATGTAAAAATTGGTCGTAAAATTTGATAACAAGTTGAAAATTAAAATCTATTGTAAATATTTATTTGAATTCGTACACCGATTCTGTTTCAAGTTGTTTGTTTTCAATATTATAGCTGTTTCATTGCCATGACAATGTTTTGAAATCGTACTGTATAACACTCCAAAATTTGTTTTATGGGCAAACAACAGAAGGCTCTGAATTTTTACAAGTTGACCAAGCGTGTTGCTGCATCATTATTGTTCAATTACGATCACTATTCAAACAGAGAGCAGGCTATTTAGATGTCGTTGTTGGTAACTTCTTTTTTAAATTGTGAGTGTAAATATTCTTTAGTGTATATACTCTAGATAAGAATTGTAGATAAATAATGCACATAAAATCAATTGTTGATGGAGAACGGCGTCAGTCATCTGATTAGTCCCATATTAATAGTACCGATATTTTGAATATTCCTCTTCCGCGAATTGTTTGATTGACAGTGACTCATCTAATTCTTATATAATCACTATAACATTTTAATCGAAATAGTTCACCATATCGTAAAAGTGTGAATACCCACCCAATTCGTTGGCGATCCTCAGTGTATGTTATGTTAATGA